TGTAAAAATAAATAAATTGTTAGAGTTTAACCTCACCAAACTTTTATCTCATACTTATAAACAAACTTTAATCCAACTATAAATTTAGAAATTATTATTCAACTCACAAATATATGCAAACCTTAATTAATTCCTTATAAGTTAGAATCTAAGCTTCTTAACTAAATTATCAAATCCTTGCATAACTTAACCAATAACAAAAGTCTATAAATGATTAATAACATTTATTACATTCTTAGAGATAAACACCATTAGCTACTCCACTATAGTTCAAAAGTCACAATTATTTTTCAATCACTTTAAACCTATAAAATCAAGTTAAGGGAGATCAAACCATAACAATCATTAAACAAAGAATATAGTAATAATGTTGAATAATAATTAGGACTAATAACTTAGAATGTGAACATAAAAACATGTTAGGTTACGTCAAATTCCTACAAGGGTGAACATAACTACACATAGGCATGAAACACAGTAAAAATGACGAAAAAAATGAAGAAGTTTGATCTTGAAGTCATGAAATCTCTTTTAGTTGCCATACACATACCAAGGATTGTTTCAATCAATGTATATTTGAATATCATCGATTTTAAGTCATAAACTTTTTTGTCTTTTCTCATAAATGACAGGTAAGCATTCTAGCACCAAGCATGGAATTTCCATGCTTAACGTGAAGAACAAAAAATGACTTTTGAAATTGTAACCTTGAGCGTGAAAATTCACACTTAGCGTGACAAAACTAATAAAAAAAAAATAAAACTCTTTAGAAGGTTGACACAAAGTATGAGATTTCATGCTTAGCATCAAGACTTAACAAAATAAATATTTTTTTCTCTTGATGTTTCACAAAACTTTTCACTTGTTTCTTTCAATGTTTCTAACCTTCTTCCTTCTCATCTACAAATCAACATCAAAAGACTTGTAAACTTTCTCAAAGCATAAGTTATAAACTAAAGTTAATTTTTTTAATAAATTAAGTTAAAATTGGATCAAATTAAGGACTCAAGTCAAAGGAAAGTAAGATGAGTGCTTCAATTCATACCCCAATATTAAAGCAAATATGACACTTGTTAGTTGACAATATCATACTAATATAAACATTTGCGTGTTTATAAACTCATGTTCATTTTCTTATTCCAACAACGTGAGACTTTTGTTTGTATCTCCAACAATTCTCCCTTCAAATAAATGACCATGATTTATCATCTTTGTAACACCATTATGTTTTGATATTTTATGCACTAAAAAATGTCTCTAAATGTCTTGTTTCTCATAGAAATTTTGAAATCATGAATTTGTGTACGTTATACCATTGTCAGATCTTAGATATTTGATTTTTATGTTCGTCTAGTTCTCCAACTTAGTCTTAAGGAAATACACCTAGACTTTGCAAGAAAAATCATCAATAAAAGTAATAAAATATTTAAAACCAACTAAGGACGATTCTTGAGTAGGCTCCTATATATTAGTTTGCATATAATTTAAAATCCCATTGACTATGTATTTCACAACTTTGAAATGAATTCTAGACTATTTTTCAAGTATACAATACTCGCAAAAATCTAACTTGCAAATCCAAATTCCCTTTAAGAGATCCCCTTATAAAGTTTTGTCATCTCATGCACACTTAGATGATCCAAACACATGTCATAATTTTGTGATATCATCATCTAACTCAATAAAAACAGGCCCACCTACAATTATACCCTCCAACTGTCTATAAAAATTATCCCACCTTTATGAATTATAAAATATGAACAAGCTGAACATTCATTATTACGATATATTTATGTTTTATTCTAAGTGACATGAATTTACTAGTGATAAGTCTATATCATCATGTATATGAAATTCTAGTCTTCAACTTACTTGTAGACAACAAAATTTGGTGAATCCAAAATTTTATTAACATGCTTGTTCAGGTTTGTCTAAGATACTTTCAACTCTCTGATATCGGTGGTCTAAAACCAATTACATACTATATATCTCATTGGAACAAGAAAAAATAAATTTAGAAACCAAAACACTAGGTCATTATAAAATTGAAATTTGGTTGTTAATAAATTTGCAACCAATTTGGTACTCAACCATAATGGTTGCAATAAATCTAGTCATTAAAAAAATTTAATCATCGGATAAACATTTGGTCATAATAAGCAACCAATGTATTTAATTAACATTAATTGGTCACTAACGAATTACGCATATGATAAGAGTTTCCGTCGCCATTTTTTTCTCACCTAGGAAGGAGGACCAAATAGCGACCAAATATTTTAATCGCACATTTGGTTGCTAAGGAATAATTCAAAATAAATATTAAAATATAAAATTATTTTTGCAACTGATAATGCGGTCCCGAAATGTATGTTAGCATCCAGACAATATTTTGGGTGTTAATTTTTATTTATTGACAAGGGTTTTATTTGATTATTTATAATTTTTTTATCTCCTTTAATTATGATTATTAACAAATAAAGATATTTACTATACTTAAATTACAACACAAAATATTAAACATATATAAAATTTTGTATTTCAATACAATATTATTAGTGTCAGAAAAATTTGAGTGTTAATGAACTCGATCGTCTTAATTAAAATTTTGAAATTTACTATTATAAATGAAAAAATATTGTTAGAAGAGAAACTCCATTATAAATAATCAAACAAGTAATTATCTCACAGGTAATTAAATTGATGGATATTTTAAGCTAGTCTTCTGATTAAAAAAAAAAAAAAAGGTGTGCTAGTACGAAAAATAGCTTTAGAAGTAGAATAAATTAATTGGAGATTACAAAGGTTAATTTGGAATGGGCAAAGTCATGTTAAAACTATTACGAGTTTACATTATGTTGATCCCACTAATCCATATTTTATAATTTTCATCTTTATTTTATGTTTTCCATTTTTGGGAGATTACTTTTTACCCTTTTGTTTTAATATCCTCCTTGCAGTAAAGAATTTAGACTTAGGAGGCTTCTTAATTTATACATAAAATTTTGCATGCATTTTGTGTATGACCAACCAGAAAGGAGATTGAAGAGATAAAACATATTAAAATAAGTGTTGTCTCGTGAGCACACAAATTGCATTGTATTATTGGTTTCGTTGTTGCAAACCTCGGAACTCACAAGTCAAATTTCACGCTCAACAACGATCATGAATAATCGAAGATTAGTTTTTTTTTCTTTTTTTTTTTTCTCTTTCATATATAGTATTTTAAAATTAACAATTAAAAATTAATCTATATTTACATCATTTAATTTCTATTAATAAAATATTATATTAATTAATAAAGAACACGTGGGAAGAAGTTAGAAATAAACGCGATAGAGCATGGAACCTTAATTATATCACAGAAAGACAAATGGAGAAATTTATATATTATTGTTTGGATAGAGGCTGCGTTAAATTCAATCCAACGCGCATGGTGTTATTTTAGATAAAATAAACAATTTCCCAATGTGCTGCCTAAATTGCAATACTTAACTGTCCACTACTTTCTATGCGTAAATTATCAGTTTATGAAAATAATTGATTATTAGAATTGACTTTCAGAATCTCTTTCTAATCTCTGCATTCCACAATCAATACAAATTTAACATTTGAAATAATTAAAATGAATAATATTATCACTTTTAATATAAAAATTATTTTTTTTAATTCATATATTTATAAATTATTCAACTATTACAATTAAAAATAATACATATATTGAAAAGATAAACTATTTTAATAAAATTATATCAAAAGTAATATATATAT